ATATTCTTAAGAGTCTGCTAATAAATAATCAGGATAAGATAGCATGGTATTATTCCTTGATGAATAAATTTATATAGTGAGTATGCAATGCACTACATGCATGACGCAGGAATAGATTTAATGATATTTGCTTTGAGAAACAACAATGAGGTATTTTTGAAGTATTCTCTAAATGAAGAGATCTTTAAGATTGAGTATTTGAGATCAGATTAGATAATCGAAGAGTTTCTAGATATCCTTCAGTAAGTATAAATTTTCTAGTTTAGGATATAAAAAAATTACGATAATCCACTGATTTTTAACTACTAATTTAATCTTAATTTCATGACTATTTATCTGATTTACCATATTCACTAAAGAATGAGACCACTTATAATGATTATATAGATCAGACTCTAAAACAGAATTAGTCTTTAACTGCCTAATATACGCTGACTACTCAGTTTGGAAGCCCAACTAGATTGAAAGAATAAATGATGCAATTGCTGAAATTGTTGAATCAGGCCATGAATCAAATAGGATCATGTATTGCTACAATAGCATATTAACCATCTGTCTTGCTTGTGAAATCCTTACTAGAATTGGAGTCTAATTCAAAGAGTACTAGTAAAACTCAAAGTCTTGCATCGAGGATTTACTTACTCTAGGCGATAAACTCTTAGATAATCTTGAGGACGATTACATTGATAAATTTTTCTTGGATTTAGACTTTCAAGACAGGACTGTACTTAGAATTGTGACTGAGAATGACTTCTCTCCTCTACTAAGTAGTGAAAAAATAAACATACTAATAGAAGAAATGTGGATTGGAAAGGCTACTTATGAATGTGATGGCAAAATATCTGATTTCTCTTTACTCTATAATCTTTACAAGATGAAATTAAACAAGATAAAAGGAAAGAATATTAGTCTTAAAGAGATTTTATATACAAACTTCAAGCCAAACATTAAGGATGAGATTTATTGGTTTTAGTATAGCGTCAGACATACTTCGATTCAAAATATATTTCTCAAGGAAATTATCAGTGCCGCTCTTATTGCCATAGTTTTTCAATACTTTAACTTTTAATATCTATGGCTTTTTGGAATGAGTAACTTTAATGAGGTGCCTGCAGAAGAAAGAATCAATGCAGTTAATAAAAATATTGCAACTTATGAGCCCTATAATCTTGCTGGAAACTTATTTTCAATTGCATTGATAATTGGTGCTTGTTTAAAGATAGTGTTTAACACATTTTCTTCTGTTAGTCTACCCTTTGACAAGTGGACTAACTTTGATATTGTTACTTCTCTAATGAACATTATTGCATTCAATCTAACTGGCCAACTTACTCCTGAAATAATTCTCGATCCTGTAAGAAAGTAAAGAATCGACATTATGATTGTCTTTGTGATTATACTTCAGTGGGGAAGACTCTTTTCTTACTTATTGGTTGTTAGAAGTATTTCTAAACTTATCCTTACCTTGATAACAATTCTGTAAAATGCCTTGAATTTCATACTGATTATGCTCTCCTATCTGCTTATAATGTCTACTCTATTCACAGTCTTGTATTAGGAAGTTGTACCAAGATACTCAGGAATTATTCTATCTTTAAGAACACTATTTGATGCAGCAATGGGAGCTTATTCTTATGATGGAATGGATGCCTAGTTTATGTCGCATTCGGTATTGATTGTTGTACATATATTCTTAGGTAACGTATTCTTGCTAAATTACTATATTGCCCTGCTTTCTGCTATCTTTGAAGAAGGAACAGAAACAACAGGAGAGTTCGGTTATCTTACAAGCAAATACTAGTTCATCGAAAGATATCAAGTAGCATTGAGAGACTAAGATGGCTATTCTGAACTAGTTATATATCCACCTCCTCTAAGTTGTTTTGCAGCTTTTCTAACTCCTTTTGCCTTGAAAAAAAAATGGATGCTAAAAGCATCCAAAATATTTAGCAAAATGGCTTTTTGGACTGAAAACATAATCTATATTATGCTTTTCATGCTCTACTCCCTGATGCTAATTCCATTAGTTTATGTGAAAATGGTCTTCAATTTAATGAAAATGGGTTCAATCTTGCATGCAATAATGATAATACCTCTTTGGCTGATGTTCGGCATCTTCTATCTGTTTTATGCTCTATTTCATGATACTTAATACTTCATAAGATGCTTGGCATTAAATTTTGATAATGGACCATTATTAAATGAATAAGAAGAGATTGATATCAAGTAGGATAAGATAATACTATACAATGAGGTGATAGATGTTGTCAAATGCATTTAGCATCTATACAAAGAACATAAAATAAAGCGTCAAAAGCGAAAGAATAGAAATTCTCTATTAAAGAGATCTACCAAGAAGCTTAATGAAATGGATATCAAAAGATTTATTTAGGAAAAAGAAGCTGAACAAAAGAAGATTGAGAATGAGGAGGGCTTTACAATCAGTAAAGAGCTGATTATTGAAGCTTGGTGTAAATTCAGACCTGAGTCTACAGGAAATACTCCAAGAGCTGAAAGGAAAATTGGATATTAATCTAAAGATATTCATGAAATTTTCGGTGACTTATTTGTAGCCAAGTTAATGGCTGGTATTAAGGTTAGACATTATAACTAGAAGATATAACAGGAAAATGAGAAAGAGTATAAAGCTATTAAGAATGAACTAGTAAGTGCATTTGAGAAGAAATTCAACAAAGATCTATTTGAAAAGTAAAGAATGTCATCGGATGATGAGTCAAAACGTTCTATTGAAGAAGAACCCAAACAATACATTCCAGAAACAGAAATTCAGCTCATTGATGACATGCTTGAAAGATTTATTTTCGTCTCTTAAAAATCTTCTGTAGAATAACTTGATATTAAGCTTGCTCTAAAAGCTATCCCTTCTAGAATTAATGAACATAATGTCGATAGAATGGATATGATAGACTTCAATGTGATATAGAAATCTCTAATTGCCTTTTAGAATGATGATCAAGATGAGTTGTTTAATTACTATGATAAGAGAAATAAAATCAGAGTGTCAAAACTAAATAAGAAAAGTTAAGAGACAACTGATTAGACTGGTGATCTAAAAGATCTATCCAGCAATGTTTTAGGTTCTGTTAATAAGATTATAGGACTTGGGGAATATTTGCAAAGAGGAAATATCTAGGCTGACAACCCAAAGATAAAACTTAACAATAATGAAATAGCTAATAACTATAATAGAAAATTGAGACGACAAAATACTCAAGATAAAAAGGGAAAGGTTAATTTCATGCCTTAAAATTGATATGCTTTTATTTTAATTATAATCTTGATTTCATGATTATCATATAATATTTTCACACGGGGTTTTGGGGTTTTGGGGCAACGAGGAATTACTGAAAGATTTCAGCAAATATCT